TGGAAAATGAAAAAGAGGACAGAGGCATGATCCAGAGATGAGATATCACATACATTTGTGCATTTTGGTGTGAAACAGATACCATTTGTGGAAAGTCGATCATCGTAATGTTCTCTTCATCATCAATCTAAGATATACATACATAAACAAAAGGTGTCAATGAACATTATTAGCAAGCAGAGAAAAAAGCTACCATGCTTACAGAAGTATTAATTAACTCAAATAACAAGGCATCATCAAATAATAGCATGCAGTTGTAAGCAAAAACTACTTACAAACAGAAGGCATTAATCACTTAGATGAATCGTAGTATCTCACCATGATGTTGAATTCATTAAAGTCGCAATGAATTAGACCATGCTCAGCCAAACGAACAACAATGCCAATGATCTTCTCGAAAATTGTCTCAGGGTTCTGTAATTGCTTCACCTGAACCCTGTCATAAATGAAAACGTGAAAAGATGTGATTCACAGCAGCAAGGGTATAACTGATTCTTAGTGATGGATCAACATTTTAGAAATATCAAATGCGATGCATAATTCCTTTAATCTTAGCCAAAATCAATATCTAACCGAGAAGGCATCAGTAGATAATGTCTAGCGACAAATCATAACATTATTCTTTATGTGAATACGAAGGTATGTCCTTACATGGGGTAGCCTGGCACAAGGGACATGATAACACAGTGCCTATTGCAGTCAATAGCTTTTGGAACCGGAAAGTCATGTTCTTGCAAAGCCTGCTCACTCAGAAGCCAAACAAACATTAGGCCAAAAATAATAAAAGATGATACACCGATAAGAATTGTGTTTACATTAATGGAACAAGGCAATAACCTTCATAAAAGCAAACTCCTTGAGAGCTGCAAGACGAGAGAGATACAACCAGCTGAAACTACTGCGATGCCTCAAGTAGTCACGCTTAGATTTGACAGCCCTAAAGGAGGTTCTTCCTAGTCGATGTAACTTCATTGCCAGAATAGTTCCATCTTCCTGAGCAACCTCAAATATATCTATTATATGCAAAGAACAAACAAATAAAAGGTATATCAGCCACCGACCAATATCTCTAACACAACAATTGATCAAAATAAGTAGGTAAAAGACTTACCTGACTCTTTACCAACCCCAATCTGACGACCAACACCGGTAAATACACCACGGTTAACCAATGTTTTAATGGCAAGAAAGTCGTAACCCAGATAGGTGAGTCGGAATCCATCATCTAGAAGAGAAAAACATTAGCAATTAGATTATGCGAATTACTAATACCGCTTGGCAATAGAAATACTAATGCCTTTAGAGATAACTACTCACATTTAGAGCTGTCGTGATGCAAAAGCTTATATTTGAGCAAGTTCTTCAGCACTTTGTATGTGCCTCCATGTCTATGCAATATAACAGGCATGTGAATTACAGCAAAATGAAGAAATGAACTTAATAGAAAAAATGGAAACATCCAAAGCATCAAGATGGGGGCATACTTTAGACCAGCAATGCGCTCCACGAGCTCACAAGGAACAATCTCATGCTGCAAACACGAATAACCAAATGTATTCAGGAGAAAAACAAAAAAAAGCTAATTCAGTAAACCCTAAACCCTAAATTTCAAATCAATCCTTAATAAAAGAAAGGAAATAGAGAACACTAACGTTTCGCATTCCCATCTCGACCGCAGTGAGAACTCGAAAATCATCTTTGGACAGATACCTCAACACATTCACATCAAGCTTCATCCTTTACGCCTCAGTGTATGACCCCTTTTTTTTTTAACTCTGATTCAACCTGGTTGATAAAAGATGAAAACTTTCTCAAATTGATGTAATACTAAATGAAACCCTAGACGAAAAAAACCCAGGATAACACTACAAGTGTAGAACAATTAGTTAAAGCAATCAATTTTTGGCCCTCGACGCAACAAGTAGATACGATTAAACCCCGAGAGATAGTTTCTATAAGAACGGAGACAATTAGGTTTATCAATCGACACAAACAAAAACCTTAGAAGACTGAGAAAACTTAATCTAAAACCAAAGGGTCTTTCCTCTTAAGTCTAAGAATCAAAAACTACATAAGAGGAAACCAGAAGAAGCTTAACCTGAGAGTTTGGGAGAGAGACAGAAAACGGCGGAGAGCGAAGGAGAGTAGTTTTGGTTTCTCTCGTAACTCAAACTCTTAACATTTGGTTGGAAGTTTCAACAAAACCTAAGAGTTTATTTATTAATTAAATTTCGTCTATACTGACCAACTAAGTCGTTGTAGTATAGTGGTAAGTATTCCCGCCTGTCACGCGGGTGACCCGGGTTCGATCCCCGGCAACGGCGAATTTTTTTTTTTTTTAACGAAACAAATTAAAATTGGCATAGCTCATATTTGATCTGTAGACCTTGACTGTGTTAGATTAACGTGAAAACAAACCCTACTATTTTTCTTAACGTGTTTGAATTTGATTAATCATCATCATATCACCAAACATTCTCCATTTATGCATAAATAAGCAACAACAAGTCTCATGAACAGGTGTTTTCTCATGGTTAAGTATGCTACTCTGCTAAAATGTCATTTAAGATTTAAAGCAAGAATGTCAAATAGGCTAGTAGTAACCCAACATCCAGATTCCAATTTAACCCATCAAATATCTTTGAACCAAACTTTATAACACAGAATCTGAGACCGCTATTGTAAGATTTGGCTCATGTTTCCTTTGAAGGGCCCTTCTTGGCTGCTTCTGCAGCAGCTTTCTCTGCTTCGATCTCAGCCACAATAGCATCAATTTCGGCTTCTTCTAGCTGCCTCAGAGCACCTTCCTCTCGTGTCATTAAAGCAACCTCAATGTTCTTTCCCCCGCTCTCAACTACCTGCAAATTGCAAACCCTATCAGAGTTTTAAAGATTCACTACTTGTGCATCTACTAAAAAAGCTTCCACCTCAGCTAGTTAGGCCCTTCTATATTTTTGAGAACTTCAACATTCTTTACCATTGTCACCTTTTGTTAGCTTTGCCTCTAACCTAAAGCCAACTTTCAATAATGGAGAATTATAGATATGGTTCTAAGGTGTAGCATATTGCTCACGAATTCACCGGCTAGGCTAACAAGAATCCAGTAGGTATGATCTAATTATCTAGTTTAGTAACAGGGTACACGGAAGTAGCTCAAAAGAAAACTACTTGGTGTAGTTAGAAAACGATAGGATAAAGAAACTAACCTCAAGCAGAGCACGGATAGCAAGTTTAACAGTTTCTTGGCCAGAGGTTTCTTTATAGTTTTTCTCCAGAAACTCCCTGATTGAGTTAGAGTTTCTCCCTGTTGCATTAGCTTTCCAAGCAGAGAATGTACCAGATGGATCAGTCTGATAAAGCGAAGGGTTACGAGAGTATGGGTCAAAACCAACAATAAGAGTGGATAGACCAAAGGGTCTCACACCACCACTTTGAGTATACTTCTGTTGAAGCCCTGCTATGTACCGCGTGATGTACTCAACAGTCACTGGGTCCTCCAACGTAAGCCTGTGGCTTTGACACTCTATCCTCGCTTTGTTTATCAGGACACGGGCATCTGCCTTCAGCCCAGCACAGGCCAATGCAATGTGATTATCAAGGCTCACAATCTTTCTGGCTGATCTGTGAGAAACAAAAAAATGTATCAAAACTGATGCGATTGTGAAGAAACACAAGCCAGATCCTACATAAAGTGAACCATATAATTGCAGGGAAACAAACACTCTTCCACTCTCGTGAAAAAAAGAAGACTTTAACTGGATCAGCTCCGATTCTACAATCTAACACTCAGAGACCCCCAGTTATGAAGTGATACATAAACCCAACATCAAATTTTCTTTCAGAAGTTCAAAATTGAAGAGACAAGTAGTAATTGATCAAATCTAGCGATCCAGGTGAAATTAAAAAAAAAAAAACCAAAAGCAAATGGACAAAATCCGGTTTAAACAACTTGTATCTACAGAGATCAGAGCAATACCTAGAATCCTGTAGCTTAGGAGTCGATTTCTTCTCGACGGCGAGGACGACAGTATCGGTGCCGCGGACTCCGACGGCGGCGTTACCCTTTCGGACAGCTTCTAGGGCATACTCTACCTGAAAAAGGTGACCGTCGGGAGAAAACACTGTGATTGCTCGATCATATCTCGCCATCTCTCACTTTTTCTCCTTTTTTTCTGGGTATTGGGAATGTTCTTTCTCGTTCTGCAATTTCTCTCCTTTTTCGTTTTTGTTTCACAGTTGAGATATAACGATCCCGACTTAGGCGACAAGCTAAATTCACAGTAATCACCTGCGGACAGGTTCACGTTAACCTCCTTTCAGAACCAATCAGAGAAAATCACCACTGGATTAATATTTGTAATGGGCCCAAAACGAGCAATGTTGGGCCAAAATTCAACACATCTGGCCCACTTCTTCAACACTAGTCAAAACCGTTTCCACGAGATTGCTTATTTTCAAAATTTAATCTGGTTTTGAAAGAATGAGAGTAAAACATAACATATATTGGAAGAAGAAAATGTTTATATAGTCTACATAGAATCACATTATACACAGGAAACTAAAATACAGAGTTCATCAATAAATTTTCATATACTTTTCCAAAAATGGAAAAACTAAATCCAAGTATAGATGATAAATTGGAGGTAAGGCTATGTTACTTGGAGCCTTTCTTAGCCTTTAAGTCAGAAACAGCAGACTTGGCTAATGTTGAAGGCTTCAAGACACTTTTGGGGTTAAGTGCCTTTCGGATCTTGAAAGCGACCCATGCGGTTCCAAAAGCGTGTCCTGCTGCGTCCATCCCTTCGCTAGTAGCCTCTGCTGCTTTTGTGCCGTACCTGCAAACGTCGTAGCAAAGTCCATGAGGTTTCTTTATCATCTAAGGCAATTGCTAGAGATCACTCTTTGCTGAGATATATAATTGTGTTTCATATGACATTGAAAAAACAGTACTTGTGATCGACAAGTTCTGTTGTGACAGTTGATGAAGTCGACATGATGTTTTTTCCAGCCACTTCAACAGCATCACAGATCTTGCCTGCAGGAAGTAAATAATGTCATTAACTCGAAAGCAAAGAAGGCAAGTTTACTAATACCATAGGCCTCAGCAAGGAAGGTGTGGGTTTGGAGTGTATATCACAGATTATTCAAAAGAAGTCGAAGAACCTTCCGATTTAAAAGCCAAAAACTATGCCCATGATTTTAAAAAAGAAAAAAAGAAGATTCGGTATATAAGGCAAACGAAAGATTACAAAACGTTTCGTAACTTTCAGCTAAAACACCCCCAAAATAATAATGCCTCAAAGCCTATTAAGCCTATACATTGCTCAAGGCAAGAAGGAGACCCAAACACCATATCAACGAACATTTGGAAAATGTCATATTCGAAAAAGCTTTGGAAAAATTATGGGAATAGTCATCAGAAGGAAATTTGGATCAACCAGAATGATTGTAAATGTTGGTTATATCAAAACATGCTTTCATGTGAGATGGAAAAAAAAATAAGCAAGAAACTCGTGAATCAAGAAGTCTCCCTGATCTTCCAAGCAAGGGATAGAAAATTTGGGCAACCAAAAACAAGTATTCTACTTACTGAATCCATCGAGGGATGCAAGAATAATCTCTCCGGGCAAGAGGCCAAAAAACTTCTTTCCAGCTTTTGAGTTTGCCACTGAACCCGTGATGAATCCCGAAACTTTGACAACACCAGAAAGAACACCGGTCGCAACTTTCTCCGTCATTTGTGTCACTCTCTTGACCCTTTACATAGAAACCGCACTAGGGGAGATTAGCACAAGCACAATAGTTGTTCATTCAATAAATACAATACAACCACGAGAATGCACATTGGATTAGACATTTTTAAACAAGAAATCTCATCACTTTTCAAACAATTGGTATTCTGCAAACTATGTAAACTATATAATGATCCTGCAGAATCATCTCTTATCCTCAGTTTTCTTATGATCCTGAAACAAAGAACAATATAAGAAGTCCTGCTAGATTCCTGTGCACTTAATTTCCAAGCTCAAAGATGCTAAATTCCTAAAGGAAAGTGATGGATGGAAGTTGTCGTGGTACTTAACATCACCATACCTCTTGATTCTCCTCAATGTCTCAGGGCTAACGTCCTTTTCCTTCTCAGCACGACTCAGCCTGTTCTTCATAATTTCATTTCCCCTTCTGAGTCTATCCACAGTTACATCTCCACACCAAAGTATCCCTCTAATCAGCTGACCGGACCCAGAAGCTATCATTTTAGCAGTCTTGCTACTATAGTCCTCGATGTTAGGAGCGAGTGTGGTCCAATAAGCCGCACATTGACCCTCCACAATGTCTTTTCTCTCACCCTTAAGCTCATCAGGCGAAGTCACTGCAGCCATGGAATTTCCCAACACCTCCTCTCCAGTCTCCTTTGCTTTCTCAGACATTCTCTGCTCAGTGAAACAACAATAGTCTCGCAAAACCTGATCAAGCACATGTAATACGTTTTCTTGACCTTTCGAAGCAAAAGTCAATCCGTAATTGAGAATCTCATCATCTGAATCGGACCCAGATCCATGACCCTTTTCCTTTGGAGGGTGGATTGAGAAGAAATAGTGAGATCCATCAACCTTCGCTGCTACTTCGTTTTTCGTTAACGGCCATTGAATCTCATCTGCGACATTTGCCAGAACGGCGACGATGTTAGGTCCCTGGACGATTCGAACGATGGTGAAATCACCGCACGCGAGCTCGACGCTGTAGGATTTGTCGATAAGGTTGAGGATCGCGCCGGGGATACGAATGAAAATCTCCTCCGTCGCTTGAGGCGGAGCAGACGGTGACTGATTGGTGGATGCATCTCCGTGGTTTGGGAAAAGATTAGGCCCGAGATTGTTCGAGGATAGAGATGGGTAGAGATTAGAGGAAGAAGATGGATGATAAGGGTTTGTCTGAGCAAAAGGATTATCCGGTATGGATTGATCGATGTCCGGATACATCGCCGTTCGTTGCTTCCCGTCGGCACCGTGAGAAGGATTCATCTCCGTCGCGTCGTCGTTGATTAGATCAAAATTACTCAAAACGAGAAGAAGTCTTAAAATTGAAAAAGGGAGATTAATTTCAATTTCCAAGGTGTTCAGAGGGACACGTGGCGTAAAGGGAC